AGATGAGGATGCACTCCATCTGCGTGGTACAGACTGCTGCGTTTGCCTTTGGCCTCGATCTTCATACAATCAACTACCGCTTAAGCATTCAGTTTTTCAGCTGTCAGCCAGGTCCTCCGACATGGTTGCAGTTCCCAATAAACCTCTTCTGGTGAACGTCTATTCTTCGTTTTACATACTACCTTGAAATTGTATTTTCACTACTATTATGTTTACTAGGCATTTAAAACTACTATTAAATCTGTTAGGCACCTGCTTATAATGTCCACACGATCCAGTGCACGTGTCGGTCGCGTAGTCATAATTCTTTTTTTCCTGATTCCACATGGATGCCGCACTGCTATAGACGTCCGCAGGCATAGTCCCGAAGAGGGCCAGATTTTGACCGGTGCCTGCGTATTGTGTGTCAACGTTGGGATCGGGATGGTCAAACTTGCAGTTTGCGACCCAGGAAGCAGCCAACTTCTCCATTTCATCTGAGTATGTCTAAAGTGTAAATTACATTTTATTTAGTCAACATAAATATTATATATCATCCTACCCCGTACATCGTTAAATTAAGAAGACGGTGATTAAGGTGCTATTAAGTGTATAAATGCTGATCAATTGCCGGATTCAAGATGCCATGGTCTTACCGTACAAAGAGCTGATATGGTTATCATATATTTTACACGAAACATCAGTCCCATATTCAAGAGATCACAAACCCCAGATTTGGAGAATTCAGGGCGCATGTTCAAGATTCAAGAAACACAAAATACTTTTCAACTACTTGAAAGCCAAAAGTCAGTGTCGAATTGTGAGCACACTGGCTGCATAAAAGATCAATAAATATCCCTAATAGTCAGCACAATAGCATAACTGTTTATCCTTAACCAAGTCATTTAACACAAGATGGCAACAGAAATGAGATTGTGAGCTTTAATTTCACACAAAAAAATAGATAAGACAGATTGTTGTTTTACAATATTGCTCGTGAGCGAAAGGAAAGCTTTTCTTGCTTTTTTAGAGGTATATAACTTTTCAAATCAATCATTAAAAATAGTAGCATATCAGTATACTTACTAGCATTTGCATGTTCGCTGCAGTAGGAGTGACACTCCCCCGTTCCTTGTTATGGCACTGAAGGATATTTTGCCTTTCTGCACTAGTTGCCGAACAGACGGATTTGATAGAGAAAACCGATAGGATTAACCAAATTGCAAAAATTGGACGCATTGTTATGATCTACTGGTGCGTCTGGTGGGAGTTATCTTCCTTATTCTGAAATAAATAAAAAGGTGCAAAATAAGTAGCCGGCTAAAGTAGAGTAGAGTAAATTGTAAGCAAGATCACGAAATGTGCATTTACTTAAGTAGGTAGGATTTTAATAGGATTATCTCGCAGAAAAACCCCAGGACATTTTCGTCACTGTAGGTTGCCGAGTTGGAAAAGAGCTTATTCCCGACATTCTGCGAATCCCGCTATTTTCAAATTCATTATTTCGCTTTCTTAAGAATAAGTTATAGTATCTGGAGTAATCCAAGTATATTTTATAGACAAAATCAACGAACATATACAGATATTTTCAGTTACAGAATAATGTTGATATGAGTTTTCTGTGCTGTGTGGTTTGGGTACTGCGTACTACATGCTCAATACTTTCCATGCACCGAAAGTGCCTTTTTTCTTTACACTACCAGAAAGTCGACATATTGGATTAATAACACATCTGACTGATGCAGAACATGCTTTATGGATCGAAAACAGCATTTAACAACTTACAGAAACGATTATATTTGAATGAGCGTGTGACAGTTGTAAAATATCTTAGAATTATCAATATCAACTATACTGTAATGTGGTGAAATTTGCTATTTCTACAGCGCAATTGTAGAGAGATTGATATAAGAGAAACAGCTTAAAGGAATAACAATACGGTCAAAAATAAAAACCAGTCACGCCGCCTTTCGGTATTTTTTGGCTAAATTTAAATGCTCCCTGTCAGAACTTAATAGTAAAATGCTCCTGTTTAACCACATGTGTTATATTTATCTTACTTGTAATATCTTTTGCATTTTTTAAAAGGACCAGTGTTTACTTTCAATATCTTAGATAACACATATAAGTCGAAATCTTCCTTTGAAACACGTTATTTAAGTAAGTAGCCGCAAATATGCAGACATGATAGCCATTCCAGCGGCACCTCGGATAAAGATCTTTCTGCGCGTTTAAAATAAAGTTCCCTGTGCTATTTTTGAAATCCGCGCTTGCCTAAATTATAAAGTCGCAGAAAAAAATTAAATGCTCAGTTCACACCTTTCCACTCAACTCTATCAACTCATGAAACTTCGACGCGTTTATCAACTACCAAGAGTTGGGCCGAGCCTTTAATTATTTGCAGTCTCTGGTGAAATTAAAGAAAATGGGAAAAGTGGGTCATTGTAGATACCTGCGCAGTTTTAACTAACCTGAATGGGATCGAGAAGGTTGAGATAATACTATTCCTTCATGCAGTGCTATATATATGCATCAACCGATACCACAAACGCACATTAGTGATGACGTTTACCACCTTCACTGGCACGCGCCTGCCGATTCATCTAAATCAGATAATTTTTACAAGGTCATGATAGTGACAGAATGATTTCTGTTTGTGTGAAATTCGTGAAGCATAGATTCGGCACAAATGAAACATTAGTTCCGTAAGAAAAGTAGAGCGATAAGTTTTTGTAATGATTACTTTTATCTCGATAATATTCCGAACAGCATTTTGCTGTTTTAATTTACCCGTGGTAGCGTTTTTAGGAGGTATTCGCCATAGAGTTGGAAATTGTTTTAAAGTCTGACAGTAAATACGTAATATCTGCTATAGTGATGTGTATTTTCACGTTCAAACTCAACAGCATTTTTAGTTTGCACGGCGGACAAATTAGTGAACGTGACTTCAAAATGGGGAATAATTGAAGTAAATATCCGTGATTTGGGCGATGCACCGGATGAGTGAAGAACTAGCGCACATTTATTCCTTAAATAGGAAAATCATACTTAACAACTGAAAATAAGATCAATAATTGTCTGACTTGGGCGCCGATTGGCCTACTGGCGCAGACTAACATTGTCCGCAGGGGCCAATCGGCGCCCACGTCAGACATTTATTGATTTTTCTACACGTAAACACTTTAAATGTTTTGCAAAGTCACTGGCCTGATGCAGATCTGCTGAAAAGAAGATGACAACCTACTAGATAGGCTTCAAGAGGTGTGAAAAAAGTCGTGAAGAATCTAACCTCCTTATGCTAAAAATGCAGACCTGGCGCACTTAACCGTTTCCTCTTGAGTAGTTCCGACGGTAATCCATGTAGACATACCGGCTCGTGAGGAATCGTGATTAGGGCCCGCACGTGTACGATTTCTTCTGACTGGCTGGAAAAACTAACTTGTGCGTGAATTCTCTCAAATTTCGATGCACCTTATCCCGTTTGCATGTTCTTCGTCACTCATTTTCACAGTAATAATTAGAACAAATCCCGCGTTGTAGGAAAACACAGATGTCACTAGAATGCACACAGAAATCTGAGTTGCTATTTTAGGCAGCAGGGTTGCTAGAGTAATCAGAGCTGGTATTGACGGCATCCAATCATACCCGAGAGGCGGTAAGATAGTGGTGGCAACTGCTTGCGGAGCAAGTTCAAGCGTTTCCAATGTGTGTGAGTGGCCCTACCCGGGAGGTTCTGTGTCTGGTGGCATATGCTTTACCGGACGTGATTGGGAGAGATATGTGTTCAAGTGGCTCTTGGGCAGCAGAGACTCTCTGGACGCAGGCGTATTTGTGTGTGTGCATGTGTGCGTCCACCGAGTCCCTTAAACGAGCCGCGTGGTAGAGGCGTGGGACCACCACGGGGCAAATCACGGCATAACAGGCGTTATTCAGGTTGCTGAACATGGGGGGGCACACGCAGCACCAGCCACGTGCCCCTGAGCCCGTCTCCTTCT